TGGATGTGTTACAGTTGATTACCAAGATTTTCGCTTCTACACGATCCCTTCGTTCTTTTTTCTTCCAGCAGTGTTTGCAGGGCAAGATTCCATAAAAGTTTGTTTTTTTCGTGTCATATTTCTGGAATGTTTATAGCTGTAAATGATGTACGTGGAAAATGTTTGGGAAGCTGATTCCTGCCTCTAAAATGTTAATTGATCAATTTGCAAGGCTTGATGTACACTATTTTGTTCTTTCCCGTCCTTGGATTGCGAACAGTGTAGGGAAAATACGGCCAGCCATGACAGGCAGCACCTGAAGAGATAAAAACAATGGGTTAAGATGAAACAGAAAATAGAGCAGGGTTCTAATTGATAACGACACCTGAGCAGTTAGCCGACTCTACTAAGGAGATCGCGAGTACTGTCATTATAGCAACAGAAAGTCAAAATGCATGCAGAGCGTTTTTTAGCCGTTTTGCAGTTTAAGCGTTGAGGGGTGGGAGGTGGGTAGGGAGTGGCTAGAGTTTTGTTGCAGTTCCCAAAAACTGCAATAATCGAAATTGGGTAGAACTACCTTGTTACGAATGCATGCACAGAAGTGTCTCAAAACGAAAGAATGGTGTGTTCTTCCTCAAATGAAATTTTTTTCGAAATTGCGTTAAGATGTACGCTCCATCTATATCAGAAAATTACTTTATAGAGCTTCCATCGATGGTAAGAGTCGGATAACTATTATTTAAAAGTACCCAGCTTTTGCCTAGACCCCATCAACATGTACATGAACTTTATCTTGGACTTGTTAAGTGTGGGTTTATTCTCAATTGCTATTAGATCCTCATTCAGGCCTTCTTCTAAGTACACAAAATCTTTGCTGGCAACGGGAAGACATGAAATGAGTTGTTAAAAAGCGAGCAGGTTTTGATTAGTTCTTATAGATTTTTCCAAGACACAAGGAAAGATACTGAAATTAAAAGTCTCTCAAACTTCTCAAATCTGAGATTATAAGGTAAATTATGACAATGTCCATGCACAACTATCAATGTCCATCCACAACTGTTGTTTTTGATGAAACTAGATCATTAATTTTAGGTTTCTACAAGAGAAGATCAATCCTCTCCTGGTTTCTATTAATGGAAATATGTACTTTGTTTTGTTAAGTTTCGAATTCAAGTTCATGATAGTTCCCCTATA